ATGCCTTTTTGTCACACAAGGATTAGCGTGGACATAAGCTATGCACGTTTTGCCCCCTCGGGAGACACACAAGTGGCGAGTGGAGGATCTGACCAGTCCCCCCCCCCCTTTTTTTTTCAGCACTCGTCCGGAGAGACGAGACGGACTCCATTTTTTGGGGAATGAGGGCCATAGAAATCAATGTGACTTGACAATGTCGTTCTTGTGTTCGCCGGTGGGTCGTGATGTCACAGCCTGAGCTCGTTTACTTTCGACCGTTTCTCCAGCCGTGAATCGCCGGCTGGGCTTGACCGAGGGCCACATTTTCCCAGCGACGCTCGCCAGACTGCACCGAAGCACTGGCGCATCCGAGCCGAAAGCGTGTCGTTGGATGCACAGATGGGCATTCGCCAAGTGTTCTCGGTCGGGCTGTTGCCGTCAAATGTTTGGAGAATCAATTCATCACACCAACTATTCTTATTCATTTGGCAAAAAGTGACAACAACGGTTGAGCGATTGATGTTGTACTCACCGAGCTTTGTCAAAGCGATTGAGGAACGGGCGATGATCGCTCCGCTTTCATGAAGAGCTCCGGAAACCGCAGCAGAATCACCGTCGAGAGGCTGAGCGTTCGCTCAGAGCATTCAAACCATTTTGAGTTCAACAATGGCGCTCGACAATGTCAGAGTTCATCGAATACCCGTCGCGTTTATGCGGCACAAAGTGCCCGACAAGACACCGCATACGTCAAAGGTACGAGCAAGGACGTCCGGTACATTAGCGACAATCGTCTTCATGTTGGAGTGAGCTTAAGACCGCACCGAATGGCACCGAGCGGGACGGATTTTTGATCATTGGCGGCGAGGGCTGGAGCAAAAGCAAGAGTCGGCGAGCGAGAGCGGCGGGCGCCGGCCTCGTTGACCTTCAAAGCGCAGACGAGGGCCCTCTCCATCCCGCCGGCGGCGGGAAGAGAGGCTCGTTGACCGACCCTTAATGGCCCGCGGCAAACGGGGGTCGCCGGGCCTCAGCCGTTGCCCTGGCGACCGCAGCGACAAAGTCAAAATGCCGTACCGCAAGTTGGGAAACACGTACGGCAAAGTTGAATGGGGTGATGTGGGTTTTTTTAAAGAGCAGACAGAAGGGGGGAAAAAACGTCCAGACAAACACTTTTGGCTGTCTCAAGAGCCAGGACTTGATCAACAATCAAACGAAAGCTGCTTCATTAGCGGCCCGTTACCTCAAGGCCTCGCGGAAGCACTCGCGCGGCACAAAGCTGAAGGTACACCTGCACAAGCTCTGCCCTCTAACGGACACGTCTTTCTCCATGTTTTTCATCCTCCCGCAGCACACGACGTAAGACGTTGGCGACATGCCGACGACCTCAAAGGTCTCGGTCGAAAAACAAAGCCGGCGGTGCCAACGTCAAGACTCAGTGGTTTCCGGTAGCATCTCGGCCGTACCACTTGCGCTTCGAGTTCAGCGTTTCCACCACGGACGACAAGGGTCCATATTTCCCCACTTTCGCACCGGGGCAGATGACGCGAGGTCCGAGCGTCGGGGGGCGGCGTACCGCAGGGGTCAACCACAAGTCCCCAGGCGGGGCTTGCGGGCCTTGCTCCGGTTAAATGAGTGCCTTTGTGAAAAGTTTCTGTTTGAGAAAAGAAACTTTTTCCCCTCTCCGTGAGCTCCGCCGATGAAGAAACAGAAGCGTTGGCCAGCTGATTTTTCTTTTCTTGTTTTCAAATGTTTTTTTTTTTTATGTCCCGTAAGAGCATCTCGGAGCTTTTTTTTTGTGGGGGGGGCTGTTTGTTTGTTTAAAACAGATCATAATCAACACAATCAAAGTGGCGCTTTTCCCAGCAGTGGACCGCCACCACCCCGTTCCATTACTGCATTAATACCACTGAATTTCACCTCCACTTACTCCGCAAATACGGCCTCTGTAATGGAAAACATTATTGTCATCAAGGCCAATCTTGTGGGCCATGTTACAGTGTGTGTGTTTGTGGGGGGGGGGGTGGCTGGAGCAACACACAGTGGATGGCCTTTCGCATTAAAAAAAAAAAAAGCGAAAGAAAGAAAAGGAAAAATGCTTTCAGGGACATTTCGGCATTCCACTCCATAAGCACAAACAAACGGAACCAAAAAGCCATTCGGAGGGGAAAGGATGCTGCTTGTGCTGTTGTGTGTGTGTGTGTGTGTGTGTGTGTGTGTGTGTGTGTGTGTGTGTGTGTGTGTGTGTGGGGGGGGGGTGCTGCGGAGGGCAGATAAGAGGAAGTATGGTGGGGATGCAAGCAGACCTTACCAAGTGTCATTTGGAAGCCTGAAAAGGTTGAAAAGGTGCTTCTTTCATGCTTTGGTTTGATTTCTTTCAGGGGTGTCCAAACTTTTTCCTTTGAGGAAAAAGGATTTCAAATGTGTCAACTTTTTGAAAGCAATTCCAGATCGTTATGGATTGTCAAGTTCATCTCATCAGCTTTCAGTTCAAGCAAATAGTTCAGCATTTTTTTTTGGGGGGGGGGCAACAGCCCTCTCGATGTCACAGCATAGATCCGACTCTGCCCTGAACAGCACCCAAATCTCCACATTCAGAAGCCCAAAAAGAAAAAAAACTGTCGTCAGGCGGCCATTTTTTTCAAACGGTGCCTTGAAGCTGATTGGCTGCGATGTCTTCATCAATCGGCACAAAGTGGAAGAAACGCTTTGAAAATGGAGTCATCGTGATTTACGACAGTGTTTTGAAGATCGACGGTGTTCTTCTTTTCATTTGTATCTTTGAATGCAGGCCAATGCCCAAATTTTAGCTGTTTTTTTTTTTTTGTTTGTTTGTTTGTTTTGTTCGGGCTGTTCTCGGCTGTAGTTTGGACCCCCCTGATTGATTTGATCATTTGATGAGATTTTTTTTTTTTTCTCCGCAGTGTCGGCTGCCGCAAAGCACGTTAGTTTCGTCGACGTACGCGCCGAAAGAATTTGAAACGGACAAAAGGAGACATCAACTTCCAAAATGGATCTGGATCCAAACGATGTTACTTTGCGCAACCGATGTGACGAAATAACTTGGGAGTCAACTCAACAAAAACTGATCTCGCTTCTTTGAACATTTGAGCTTTGCGTATGCAAAGCGTGTCTAAAATTCGCAACGTGTGCCTCATGAGCAGATGTACCTAATCAAGGGTCCCATCGGCGTCCACGTCACCCGAGGACGCAAAATCTGAAGCTTCTCTTTGACTTTGGTTTTCTCTTCTCTCTCTCTGCCCTCACTCCCCCCCACCCCCTCCGTCTTGACACAGTGCACTGAGCCTAATCGCGGATAATTGGGTGGGAGTGGCGATGGGCCGGCCCTGCCTTTGTGCGCAAAGGGCAAGTGGTCAAGTTAATGGGGCCCTTGTGTGGAGTCGGGGAGCGCTCTGTCTCTCTTTTCTTTTTTCCTCCTCCTCGCCCCCCCCCCCGCGTTCGATCACTCACTCGGCCACTCCATCACTGGCTTTCACTTGCATTTATTGACTTGCGTTTCTTACTACTTGCAGCTCGTCTCGCCATTTCGGCCCTCTCCCCGCCCGGTCGGGTCTGGAGGGAGGAGAGTGAGCGCGGAGCTCTTTCAAATGTTAAAAGACGGATCAGGAGGCCTCGCTGTAGCTCCTCCCTCCCTGACAACTCGCCCTCCTCCTTCCTCCTCCTCCTCCTCACTGATAAACAGAAGAGTGAGGCTGCAGGATTAGCTGTGCTCCCTCCCTTCTTGATCCCTCTCTCTTTTATTCCCGCCGAGTGGAAGACGGTTGACTGGGCTTGATATGTGTGTGTGTGTGTGTGTGTGTGTGTTAGCTTGTCTGGCAGCAGCTTAGCCAGCAGGAGGCCATTGTGTTGGAAAGGCAGGCCGCAGCCAATCGGGGGGCCCGATGAAACTTTATTACATCTGTAAGCATTTAACGCTTTAATTCTTGACAAAAAGAACACACACGAGGTGCCGACACGGCGCTTCTGCCACAAGAACGGCGCTGCACAATTACCAACGCTCGCTCTTTTGCTGGAAGTAAATGTGAGAATTGAGAGGGGTGGGGGGTGGGATGACAAACCAAAAAAATAAAAAATAAGACCGCAATACTCTGAGAATGTGTTGCGAGTTGTTTTTATTAAGTGACAGAATGAGATTGTGCTGATGGTCAAGAGGGAACCCGAGGTCAAAGAGGGCCGCACAGGGCCTGTGGCGCGGGCCATCGAACTAAAGTCCATATGGAAGGCACAGCGAAAACTGCACACGGAGACGTGAGAAAAGGCGCATCGACAACGCGGGCTTCGACATGAACGGTGGCCCGATGGCCACCGCGTGACCGTCGGGCCACTTGAGGTTCAAATGCCTTCAAGAAACGTGATGAAAACAACGAGCTCTTGCGATGGTGGAAAAAATACAAGATTGAAAAAATTTGGACATGGCAAGTTTCCACCCAACACGATTCTGCCGCTTTACGTTGCTACTGGGCTAAAATGGCCTCGCGCCACCTCTGTAAAGAAGGCATTTTTTTGCAGATGAACAGCCATTTCCATCCACACACACACACACACACACACACACACACACACACACACACACTGGTTGGTTCGCCAGCGTACAGCTACGAGTGTGGCGACGTTGTTGCGACTTTCGCCATTTCCTGTGTCATGACTGCATTAAGTCGGCCCGAAGTAAAAAAAAAAACAAAAAAAAAACAAAAAAACAAAAACAAAACAAAAACGAATTGGTGTCCAAAAGGCCAGCGCTTAGTCGTACTCAAAAATGTTCGGATGGTCTCGTTCTGGTTTTTAAATACATTTGTTCCACACTCATTTAAAAAAAAAAAATTTAAAAAATGGGGGTGTTTTCCTCACCCAACTCGCTGGGGAGCTGCGGATTGTGAGGAGATTGGCTTACTTTTAGGCAAGGTCGGCTTGGTTATTTGGACCAGTTTTGTTGCGTCCCGTCAAGTTGAGGGAAATAACCCAGCGCCGGCCGGGTTGGGCATCGGGAAGCCAACAAGTTCTCGTGTTGGGTGGAATCTTTTCCGCGTCCGAAAGGAAGGAGGACGCGCGATGAGACGGATCTTCACTTGCCTCGCGATCGGGTCACAGAGTTGAATCAAGGGCGAGGCCGAGCTGGGTCGGTGGCGGGCGCCTCGCTTTCACTAAGCTTGAGCTCCTTTGCTCAAGGTGACGAGCAGAGGGTAGTGGAGGTTCTCGTCGTAGGCCTCTTTGCCCTCTTGCAGCATCTGAGCGCAGACACAAGACAGAAGCGGCGACGTCAGGCGACAAGCTGGCCTCCTTTGCACTCGCTCATTTGGGCTTCCGCAGATCTTTTCTTCGGCGACCTTCTCGGCTTGCTTCTCTGTCTTCTAAGTGCTTATTTCGAGGAGCGGTACTTGGCAATACACGACCTGTTTTTGTTTGGGTTGCCTTCCCAACTGCCTCGCTATTTTGGGGGCCTGAAAATGGCGGCCGCCCGTCATTCTGAGGGCCGTTTTGCAGCTTCTGAGCCTTTTGATGAGTAACTGCTAATGGAAATCCCTTGTTTTATTTGGGGAGAGGATTACATCAATCTTTTTTTTGGGGGAGGGGGGGGGGCCCAATCGCTACTTGCTGTAATGTTGTTTGACCTCCTTTTCAGAACCTGTTTCTCCTTCAAGTGCCGTGTGAGTGTGGTGCGCGGATATTTTTGGGCGCTTGGCTAGCTTGTTGGCTACCTGCTCGTCCAGGTGCTCGCTGAGGCTGACCACTTGGTTCGCTCAAATCTTGCAGGAGACACCCAAGCCCTCCCACCACCTTGGCGTTATCTCCCCTCCGGGCACCGAC